GTCAAAGGAACAATAAAAAGCTGAGAATAGTAAAGAAATTGCATTGAATATAGTAAAAGTAACAATTCTATTTTTCTACACTAACTGTTACTGTGTGTCAGACGGTAATACGGTGTGATTGGTTTTTTTAACTTTGATATATTTTTTAATTCTGATGCAGTAAGAAGTTCGCCAGGTTAGCGAAAATAAATTAATTTAAAATCAAATTGTCTCTCACACATTAATCTGCAAACACATTAATCGCATAACGAAATTAGAAAAAAAAGAATAAGCTTCTGACGTGCCAATGTAATCGATTAAACGTAATGAATACATGTCTCGCCCGTGTCGATGTGAATGCATCTCTAGTGATAATTGGCGTTTTAATGAGACATTGGATTGACTTATATTATAGAGATGCCGTGATTTTTGCTGCCTGCAAAAATATTGTATACCTGCAATTTGTTTTGCATGCAACACGTAAATAATTTTTTGTTAAGTATTTTCTTTTTCATCCTTCTTTTTAAAAATTGCATATTATAAGATCTGTTGTTTAAAGAGTATATAAGAGTATATTCACTTGTGGCCGTTTTTTGGATTGAAAAAAGTACCAAATCTAAACTGATTATTCTCAATAACTTAAGTTATTTTTACATTTCACAAGTCAAAAAGTCCTACTTTTATCAAAATGCTATCAACTGATCATCAAAAATTAAAATCCAAATCAAAATCGAAAACAAACAGGTTTCGATTTTGATTTGGACTTTAATTTTTGACGTTTGAAATAGTTTAATTGCGATTTGAGACACACTTGTTAAGCATTTATTTTTCTTATAATTTATCAGGAGACAAGTGTAATTATGTTATCTTAATTAAAATAAGTATATTAAATTTCATCAATTGTGAATTATTCAGCAAATCGAAGTCCTACTAGTAATAAAGACGAAACAATTCAAATAACTACAAAAATTTTTTCAACGTACTTAATTTGTTTTAGTTTTGTTAAATAAAAAAACACGGCATTGTGCCGTCTATTATAACATTGTTGGTATTATCTTGAAGATATTCTTAGCTTAAATGCTACGGAAGATTTTCCTAATAATAACTTTATGATATTCGTCACAACATACGATACACACGTTGACATGTTCATATAAGAATTTTCTTGGTAGATCCGAGTTTATCAATGACTTAAATTGAAAATTTAGTTATTGATTATTTTTTATAATAAATAATATTAATATGGATATAATTTCGCTAAATAAAAGTTATTACACGTATTCCAGATAGAATCTAAATAAAGAGTACCTACTTAGTATACAGAGAACATAATCATATCTTTAAGAACTTTGAACTTTTAAGATTTTAAAAATTTTAATTAAGAATCTTACAATATTCTAATTTAAAATTTAATTTATAAAAGATTATTCATATTCTATATTTATTTTAATGTTATTTTGGGACAAAGCATTACACAAATAGATACAGGAAAAAATATTATTAGTGCACAAAATTTATTTATTATTGATTTCGTTACTGTAACTTATGTTAATTTTTTTTAATACGCTAATATCAAAGATACAGTAGAAAAAATGTCAATAAACACAACAAACAGTTTCTTTACTACTGCCTTATTAAAATAAACATAAACATGGTATTTAATATTGGAATTAATAATAATCAAATTCATTGCAAAATTAATTACCATATGTAAAATTTATAGCCGCAAAAATTTCATGATTATTACATGTACCGATATAATTAATTAATTCTTATAAGGAAGTCATCAGATGTATAGTGATTCAGAAGTTTCATAAAAACAAACACCTTTGTGAAATGTTTTGTTCCGTATGTACCGTTATTAAATGTGCCAAAAACGGACATTTGTTATTTTTTCTCGTAATTGATTGTTATAAACAAAATATTGTTATATTCAGATTTTTATTATTGTTTATTTTGTTTTAATTAAACTATTCCAAGTTAAGGTAAATTCACTTTATAAAATAGATGAAAAAGTTTTATAAATTATGTTATTTCCTACCCGATTAAAAACTTAACAATTAATGCAATAAAACATTTTGGAAATAATGTTTAAACTATATTTTATAATATAATTTAGCATTGAAAATTGCGGTAAACAGTTAGTGAACAAAATATTCCCAATTATTTAATAGCAAAAACGGGTTAACACAAGCAAATGTGGTGAATGTAGGTCAGTAAGCACTGATGTGTCGATTGAATGTAAATGCGCGGGCGCTCGATCGCAGTCTGTCATCTTGTTGTTCATTGTTCATACTGGGTGACTTTTTATTTGTTTAGTTTAATGAGAGAATTCAAGTATAAGTATCTATCCTCTTTTTGATTTTATGACTAACGCTAACTTACGAATGAAATAAAAATTAATTTATATATTTTTAAAATTTTAGTCTTTTGAGACTTTTACGTCATAAGGTAAATAAAAGCTGAACCGAAACTTTCTACACATAGTGATATTTTATTGACGGGACGTTCCAGTGAATTTTTTATAGGGTAATTTCGCCTGTTCGTGTTACTTTATTGCGCTTTGAAGATGTATATATCTCAGTACTAATTTTAATGAAAAAAATATGTAAAATATAGGTAATGTAGTCTATTTTAAAGATAAAATTTAGTTTTTTTCGAAACATCTTTTGTTTTTTTTTATTAAATAGATAAACTACTACACTTTGCGTCCATAAATTCCGAATTGCGTTCATGCGTGGACCATTTTACATCCATCAGCTTAGAAAAAGAATACAGGGGTAATATTTTAAAGATAATATAAAGAAAGATTGAATTTTAACAATTTCTTTATTTAAGAATATAGTTTTTCTCTATTTATACGACACGGTATAAAACTAAAAGATAAAACTTCTTGTGTTAGGTTTATTTTACATTAGATATAAGACAAAAACTATGAAGAATGTGTTCAATAAAGTAAAATAAAAAAAATATAATGGAGATCAGAAATAAATTAAAAGATAAGCAAAAAGAAATATACTTATTCTGATATTTAAAATTAATGGTCAATTATCAGGTTCCTTAATAAATGTTGGCTACCAAAATAAATGTTCGCTATACCCACGCTATATTATAAGTAACACTTAGAAACACTGGCTAAATAAAAACAATGAAATGGCAAACCGAATAATTCGGTCGAAAATTCAGTTCGGTATTAAACCGAATATTGTTCGGTATTTGGTTATTCGGTGAAACCACTATTCAGCGCTTTACAACGATTATAATTAATAAACCACTCGAAAGAAAATAAAACAACTTATTTATTCTTCTCGTCATTAATGGAACTAAACAAAAAAAAGGAGGTTTAATATTTCATTATCTTAAAAATATTATTACTACATGCATTTTCTGAGCTTGATAATGCTTTTTTTTATTATCATCGAAATTTCTTATTTCATCACTCAAAATATTTTTTTAGTGTATTCGGTCCAAATATTGCTCCAATATTCTAAACCAGAATCTAATTGACCCATCTGTGACTTGGGCTCTAGCTTTATTAATACTCTCGGCATTTTAAGTGAGATTTAGCCAAAAATTTTTCAAACTACTTTTGATCTAAGGGATCACTTTCGTATTTATTTTTATCTTGAATTAATTCGGAACAATATCCAACAATTCCTATTTTTAGCATATTTGTCTTGTCGACTTCTTCTCATGAATTACATTTAACGCTTTTTTAAAACCTTTTTAGACAGAAAAATCAAAGATATTACTCATTTCAGTAAAAATAGAATTTTAAACCCGAAGTCTAAATAAAAAATGTATAAAGGTATATTTTAAAATATTTTTGCAAACAAGACTAATGTATTAAGGAAAAAGAAATGAACGCAACTTGGTTTAATACTATATAGTGTAGATATGGTAAGGTAGGGGTCCACGACGGATGCAAATTAAAAGTTTTGTAAATTTGGTGTAGTAATTCGCGTCCACCTTATTTTTAACGATAACTTAAAAAAAAAATAAACAAATTCATAATAAATATTATTCCTTTTTTCATTATCAAAGTCTAGAAAAAGTTATGTATTCTAAAAACCGTACCGTCAAACACGCCGCTGCACACTTATTTTTTCTCAGTATATTGTGTTTCTGTCTTGTTGAATAGTCCAGACTTATTATTTTTTTTTAGACAGGATAGGTAGGGCGCACGGAACTTTTGTCTCTTATATATTACTTATTACGTGTGTCTTATTGGTGGTAATGACTTTTCGTGTTATTTTCGAGAATTTTCAAAGAGAGATCCCTCAAATGGACTCGAACTGGACGATGGATGTGAAAAGGCGAAATTACCCTAAACTAAGATCTTTTAAAAATACACGAGTGTAAAATTCAGGTTCTGTAAATTTATACATTAAAATAAGAAAATTTGGAGGATAATAAATTTCCTTTCTCTCCTTAATTTTTTGCGTTTTCCAGAATTGCCTGCAATGTGATCTCTTTTTGATAATATCATCGGATTGTCGTTTCTTGTTGCGGCTTCAGCGACAGTTCTAACATAGGGATTACCAATGATTGTTATTTACTTTAAAAAAACTTTGTAACTCAATTGTCTTTAATTTGTTTTTCTCATTTTTATATGAATTCTTTTTTATCTTTTTTGCTTTATTTTTAATTCGTATATATTGTTATATATATATTTTAATATTTTCTTTCATGCATTGTAAACGTCTTCTATTGACTACACTACACCTTTGCGTGTGCGAAACGTTAGCTCCGTGTCAATGTTGTACGGTTGATGTTTTTCTTAAAAAAATATATAAATAAAATCCTTGGATATGCGACGCTAAAAAATCCTAAAGGTAAATAACGCTATCGTATACTGGCTTTATTCGTCAAAGTATAAATATTATTTACATTATCTTATTATAAGTTTAGACGACATATTTTTTTTACGTATTACATCCTTTACTCTTAAACCTTAAGATTTGTTATAGAGGAAAATGTTATTATTGGTATTTGTAAAAATGTAATTCAGTAATCTAATTCTAATCAATCAGAATAAATTTAGGATTTGTGTTAGGAATGAGCAACTGTCCACAATCACCTAGTCCTAAGACAAAGGTTATCGAACCCGGAACATTGCACGACTGATATAACCAGTCGTCTGCAGAGGTGGCCACCGGCTTAGTGTTATTACCGGATCCTAGCAATGTAAACTTCGAAAATAAAATTGTAATGCAACAAATCAACAAAGTCTGAACGACTAAATTGGACGTAGATAGTTTAATTGAAAAAGAACTATACTTAAAAATTAAAGTAAAATGATAATTTTCGTTTTGAACTTAATGATGACGCGATAAAGTTACCTTTTTAAGTTGTATCTGTTGTGTACCTATACACCCTTGCGTGTGCGCAGTGTTAAAGCATTGTGCCAATGTCATACGGCTGCAGTTTACCTTTTTTGTGTCACCCTCTAAGGTCATGTCCAGACGGTGCCAACGTTTGCGTGTCAAACAAGAGTCGATGTAAACAATAGACAAGTCAGAGCTAACCGCGTTTTCACGTTTTTTTTTCATCAATACATCAGTATTGTCCTTTTAATCGATACTTCTTAGTGTATTAGTTTATTTATAGTCGATCCAAGTGTCGTAATTATATTTGATCGTGCTAAATATGTCAAGGAAAATCGTTTTTTAGTTTTGTTATGATGAATATACAATATAACTTATTGCAAAAGAATATAAAATAGTTAACCACATAGATGTTCTGTCAGATTTTACGGCATAATTCACGGTTTCCCAAATATCCGAATTTTAGGCTTGACCTATTTTTTTTTCCTAAGAATCTTGATCAGGATTATAAGCATTACAAAATTTGTTTACCAACATTAAATATACTTTGGACCCATTTTTCTATATAGATAAAAATTGTAAGTATAAATTATTTTTATAAACGTAAATAATACCTTACAAGATGAAAACTCAATTATTCGTGCCATTCATAAACAATTAAATAAATTCTGAGTACTCGGTCAATTCTAGCTGATGTTTATGGTGTAATGACCACATTGAACAGCTTTGCAGCATTTTTCGAGTGTGGGGGGGGAGTTAATGAAAAAACTGAGCGAACGAATCAAATTAGGAATTGCATGACAACTCAAAGTGGTACAATCAGGAAACCAGCCCGAAGTACTGTGATTACGGGTGATCCCTGCCAACCCTTCATTACGTTTACGCACCACTATTAAGCGTAATCAAGCTCTCATCACACACGGAGATATAACAATAAAATGAACACTTATGAAACAGGAAGATTGGAGTTTTTGGCGCCACTTTATGAAGCTCTGTTTGAGCGTTTAATTTATTCCCAACAAAAATTGTTGTGGTGAAAAAGTTTTTCTGATATACATTTTGGTATTTTTTTGCGGTACTTGGAAATAATTCTGGACATAGTACCTATTGGAGGTGATCATTTTTCCCGCTTTCGTAACATAAATTCTTGTTATTTTTGTTATTTTTTATTTTTTCCGTGTTATTTTTTCGTTTTCTAGAAAAATTAATAATACCAATATCTAGTTCACATTCTATTTGTTAACAATATTTTGCAAGTTATTTACGATAGAAATTAGAAAAATATATGAAAATCAAATTAAGAGAGTAGAATCAGAATGTCAATAAATCAAAGCCAACATAGACAAGAAATTATTAGAGAACTAGCAGTGGATTCCCGTTTAAATGAAAACAAGACGGGACTAATAACTAACCCTTTTGCAAAACGAAAACGAAACTTGTTCGCAATTTATATTTGGAAAATGCTTAATAATATTTCATATTTCAAAAATAGAACGAGGGTAACCGCTTAAGTTGGGGTATAATTTGCTTTCGAATCTGAATGACAAGTGCGGAAACATTCAGAAACTCCCCCTCGTGTGTTTAAGTTTCCCCACGCACGTCGTCGCGCTAGGTAAGTGCGTGCAACCCTTCATTATAACCTACGTCTATTATAGCGCAATCAAGCTCTCGGCACATACGCGAAACTAAGGAAACAATAAAACTAAAATTGACGTATAAAACCACTTCTTGATCTTATACGATCTAGGACTACACACGTACATTTAAAATGGATAATCTGAGTAATAATTTCTATACAGTTTCGTATTAAGAAAATTAAATTAATTATGTTGATATTATTCATTTGTCATACGTTATACAGTATTTATAATATTCATAATGAACCTTTTAGATAAAGACGAGCAAACACAAATAAGCTTTTTTTATATAAAATTATGCAGCATGCAGCCTTGTTAACGGCTTTTTTTACTTTAGTTCTTATCTGACCCGAGAAGTTACAAAAAGTATAACCGTAGAGAAACATTAGGGTTCCCATAGTTTTTAGTTTTGAACACTCATTCAGGTAGGTATAAAGGGTGTCGTAAAATTGTGTGAGTCTTGGTCATTTTCCAGTTCACTATTTCATAAGCAAGCACAAGATAATTACAAAGGTGTAAAATTTACACTGGTGTACATATTTCCTTTGGATATTGGACGCTATGAAAGTACATAAGCTATTAAAACCTTATTTTATAGTCTTAGTTTGCGACAACCTTAATGGACTCAAAACCTTTCACAAGATAATGTTCGACGTATGAATAGGTGATCTTAATTTACTAAAAGGTTCCGGTTACTCGATAATCGAATCACATGCGTGCGATTTATGGAATCGATAACAACGATGGCTATCTAACGGATCCTTTAATGATTCAGCCACTCTTTGGAACGGTTAGCAGTGCTTATAATTTATGACGATACTGAAGTAGGTATGTAGGTAGTTACCATTATTTTATCACGTTTCAATATTTCAAGGTCGAATTTTTTTTAAATTTCTACTTTATCCTAATTAGATTCTTATTGGGAATAATATTTATACATAAATGTTTTACGTTGGAGATATAGATGACTATATTAGTATCTAAACATTTTTATAATATTTATGAACAGTAAAAAAGTAACCCTAAAAATTGTCTAATAACAATATAAAGACTAGCATGATGCACAAAAAATTGAATCAGTAGCGTTGACAATTTGTCATCGAGGTCAGTTTTTGCCCGTAATTATGTATTTACACCTAGTAATTACTTATTCATCCACAACGACATTGATACAATTGACCTTTGTTTTTTAACTAATCCAAGAAACAAAAATTGTTATCTTACCTTAGGAAGTACCTATGCAAAACAAATTCGTTAATAGCGACATTTGTTTTTAATACATTAATTCAAAAACATAGTGATTCAAAAAGTTATCATCATCTAGGATTTATTAATTTTTTAGAACGCTACAGGACGCCACTTATTTTTGAGGATTTTTTACTTTGTTCATACGAGTGCATTATCATAATAACACTAATCTAGGGCTAAGATTTTATCCTGTCAAGCCAAATATAAGCAAAATCAAGGTGTACTTACTGTGCGGTGGTGTAAGTGACAACGCAGAGACGGCTGAGGGTGGCACAGGTGGGAACATATCCTGGTGCGGCGGGAACATTCGTGGTGGCGGCGGAGCCTCGTTCTCAGGCTCGTCAGCTTCCTTGGGCGGTGAACGGGGCCTGGCTAGCCGCACTGCCTTTAACCCACTCGGTGATCGGCGCATCGATAAGTTTTCAGGAGTATCTGACTCTCCGGAACGGCGACGTGGTCGCGCCTGTTTACGCCTTGGCTGTGGGCTGGCAGGGCTCACTGGCGGAGATGGCGCGGGCGTCGCCTGCGCTGGACTACGCGCTACGGGCGTCGGCGACCTTTCCTGCCTTTCTTCCCGATCCTGATCTGCTAACCCTCGAACCTGAAGCGATTCTCCTGCTCGTATCACCGTTCCGAGTTGTTCTTGTGCTACCGACACCTCTCCCCGATACATAAAGTCCACCACTGCTTGCACCTCCCATCCTTGAAAGTCTTTCAACACAATAACGGGGTGTTTGCACGGATTTTCGCTGAATATTCGCCGGAATAGCGGGCTGCAAGCGCCGAGTAAAACCTTGTGAGCTCGTACACGTCGTTCCGCGCATACGAGTGTTACATCTACGAGAGTTTCTGCGTGCAGGAGCGCCTCGAAGGAGCGGAGCAAGTGTGCCTGGTGGTTGTTCCAGCGCAGGCTGTAGTGTTCCTCGCCGCCGACGGCGGTCGGCTTGTCGTCCATCGCGCGCGCCGGTGTCGACGCGTGTGCTGAGCCGCGGCGAACTCCGACGGGCGCTTGCGCGGCTGAGCGCCGCCCTCCGCCCGCTTCGCACCCCGCACTCCAACCCTTTCGTCGCTCAAAGAGTCGCCTTCCCGCCGGACCGCAATCTTATCATCGCACTATACCACAGTATATTTGGTTCCGTCCGAAAGCACGACTAAAGTTAAGTTTGATCACTGCACAACACTGTTCTCGATTGTCGAGGGTAGTGGCGGGAGCGAAGGCGCGTACGTGTGTCACGGGCGGCTCACGAGCGCGGAGTGAACTGAGAGACGAGCGCGCAGTACGACGGTGTCGCGCGAATGCCGAATAACCAAATATCGGGTCGGAGTCGGCGGGCAGCGGCCGCCCGGCGGGGACCGCCCCCGGCCCCGCCCCGCCGCACACACGCGCGCCCGCCCGCGCCCCCACACATGTGTCACATCACTAATACCTACACATGTGACGCCTCCTACACAGTATGTATTTTCGGGATACCTACTCTTTAGAAGCTCCTCTACAGTTGCGTCATAGTACATAGCGGCTTCTTCAACAGGACAGCAGCTCATCGCCGAAGTGAACACGCAGTTCGAATTAACTGAATGGCGCTGTGGTAAAGGAGTTAGGACTGGGCTGCGCACCTGTTATAAGTATTGTCTTATATTCATAGCAATTCCGTTTTTTCGTTTGCAATGAAAATGATTATGCAAAATTAAGATAGTACCTAGTGTTTTGTTTTCTTCTACTGTTACTACTAATAATAAAGATTGATTTTAAGATTATAGTGAAAAAAATCTTACAACTCTTAGGTATAGCTTTCAAAAATATTCAAAATGTGAAGAGGAAAACTTAAGGTAAATCATGTACCTGCTTTGTCAATGTAATGAACTCTTCTATTGTCAATTGAAATTGAGAGCCAACTTGGGAGACTATTGTATGGACAGCCTACTGGTACCTACGCATGATTTTTCAACGTAGGTATCTTTTTTAAAGTTTTTGACTAAACCTGTAATTGTTATTTCACAATGAGTGGACTTAAAAAAGGTAACGGATTAAAGGATTATTTACCCAAAGCTTTACACAACCAAATATGTCTTCGATAGATTTGTTTTATTATTTCAAGCATGTTTTTCTACAGCAGGTAAGTTTAATTTTAACAGATATTGCATATATTGTCTTTTTTGTTGTACTTAGGCAAGTACTATACACTAGTCCTACCATCATTATTAGATGTCAAATAATTTTGTTACTAATATTTTCAAGATTAATTAACATCTAATTATTATATTATGTTGTACCTACTAAAATATAAATATTTATATCCTACTATGTAACGCTAAATAGGAGATCAATACGTTAGATGGCGCTACGTAAGCTTGAAGCTTTGGAATTGAAGTTCCTAAGTAAATTAAGCGCAAAGTTGTAGTTAAGTTAAATAAGTCTTATTTACTATTAAATATAGGTAGTTCATTCGCAGCGTTTGAAAACGGTTAACAATAAGGTTTTGATATAATTATTGTAATAGGGATGGCGACTGGATAAAAAGAAAATATTCTATTTATTCCGTCAGTCAGATAATAGAAAAATATTAGACACGTATTTTTTTACAATAATTTAACAAGAAATTTCTTAGATAACAGGCGTTAAAGTTGAGAAGTGGGGGCTCTTCTTCTTCTTCTCGTCGAAGGGTGTTTTCTGCAACTCGACACTTGGTGCCTGTTTTACGTGCAAACAGTGGAGGCCTTAGTCCTGTCATACCAGTTCCTCCAAGAAGGATTGTATTTTCCTGATGTCTTTGCAAGTCCAGTAGTGTCTTTGGGCTGCCCAGGTGTACAGTCCGTTGTCTCGTCACTCCTCTGCAGTGCAGCAGAACGTGAACGCTCGTCTCCTTCTCCAGGCAGAACGTTCCAGGGTTCGCTACGTCACAGTTTTGTAGAAAATGTACCAAAGCGTGACGTCATGCGACATTTTAACTCAATGTATCGCCGTAATATAATGATTACGAAAAAAGTAAAAAAATACGTGTTTTATATTTCTCAACAATCTAACTGACGGACAAACAAATAAAAATTAGTCGTTAACCCTATTCACTAGGGTTATGTGTAATTTGGTCGTAGTATAGTGTATCTATGTTGATGATTTTTGTATGTAAGAAAAAAAAGATATAAAAATCCCATTGACTTGTCTATCTGTATTACCAGTACAAAGGTGAGTGGTATAGCCTTGACTTGCATGAAACAAAAAGGGTTATGAGCATTACTGTGGAAGGAAAGGTAAGGAGAGGAAGTTCGAAAAAAGATGATTTAAGAGACGAGTGAGTGTTGAGATGACGATTGATCGTGACGTATTTAAGAAGAATACATAGTTATAAATATATCTATAAAACAGGGTAAGTAAATGAATTGGGTCTCGATGAAACAATGATGACAGGTAATTTTTTTATTAAGTAGTAAGTAATAAGAAGTCAAAGATGCCATTGACGCCCTGCTGTTGGCACACCATAATTGTCCCAGTACCTTCACAGGTTTGATTTATTTTACAACTTTTTTGGAGGCACATAATATTGGGTTTCAGGTTTCAGTGCAATAAGTAAATGCAATTCATTGAGACGCCAGAATAGAGGCCCTAGTTCTAAATTACTGTTATCTGATACTGTTTTCAGCCTATTAATTTTCGCCTGAAGTACAGGCTTGAATAGAATCACAAAGGCAGAGGTTGCTGTACTCCACCGTCCACACGGTACCAATTTCAGTTACCCACCCGTGTCCCAACTCGGAGGAGCACGAGATAATAAACCTTTCGATTTGAACATAATAACATCTATGTAAATGAAGACAATGATACATAAACGAATCGTATCTGGTGAGACACGTAATTAGCCAAAAAGATATATAAAACTTTGAAAGAGTCATGAACATCATAGACTTCTTAGAGGCTACTAGGCTAAAAGAGTTATTATAGTGCCGAGACAAAATAGATAGAGAACATGGAACCTGTATAGAATCCGAAACATCAATAAAAATAAATATAAATGCGATGAAACTGCTCAAAAGTTGTTTCATTTATAGATAGTGTGCGTAAAAATACAATAAATCAATACACAATAGATATATTAGGTCATAGTGATGACAATTCCATATGGATCTACACGGACCCTTAATAACTTAACAATAAATAATAATAACCCATTTGAATACTGGATCTTGCAAAAATTGTTCCCCTGTTAAAAACCGAACGCTTCAACTACCTATGGCTAATCAATTTCCTGAATATGTTGTAATTTCTTACTCAATAAATTTATAATAAAACACACCGTCGTTCGTTAAGTACAGCACTGTCACAGCATAGAGATTCGTTAAAATAAAACCTATATCAAATTTGATCGCAGAATAGCATAGCAGAACCTGAGAGACATTTACCTTGCATAAGAAAATTTGGGAACTCTGTTGCATTTCTATTTTTAGCGCTAGTGAGATCCGAACCTTTTTAAATAACCCCCAAATTTGATTTGGTTAACTTTCAATAACAAAGGTCTATTGTCGTCGAATCGATTAAACGCTCGATAGCCGATAAGCAAGTTTTATTTTTCTTTACATTTCAAAATGAAAGTTGTGACTCGTTGTGATATTACAAAAACAGTTTATTTTTAAGGCAATTAAATAATATTTTGTTTGTGCCATAAATTTAATTGGTTTCTTTTAGAAACTAAAAATGTTGTTCCTTATATACATTTAAGTTGCTTCATTAACAAATTTATTATAAGTTTGTGAATACCTCAGGAAAGACTTTGTAGTTTAAAAAATACCGAACAATATTTATCTTGTAATCATTTGGTAAATTAATATTGTGTATTATATGTAAAACACAAAAAACAAACAGTTTTAATGAATAGTAAATAATACTTAATAGTCACAAAACATTGATGCTTAGTAATTTTAATTACATCTTAATTTTTCTTTGTTGAAAATCATAGACGTTTAAATCTATCTTAACAAATATAGTGGTAATTATGAGTGCTTTTTATCATTAAATAATGTTTAATTACCATAAAAATTATTGTGAAATCCTAAATTTCAATTAAAATTTCCACCATATTGATTTTTTATTTGAAGCACAGAGATCTTATCAAACTTTTATCAGAAAAAAGAAATATCAATGAAGTTTCTTGCGGAAAAGTTTTTATTCAAATATATTTTTAACGATAGTCAATAAAAGTAAACAGGTTTTTTGTGATAAAATAGAAAACGGAAGAAAATTTACATTCTTTAAATGACAATAGATTTTCTGTTTTAATTTTCTCAAAATAAATTAAATTAATAAAATTATACTAATTTTAAGTCTCAAGTGATAAACTCTTAATCTTTTCTTCTCTCGCAACATAATAATATTACGTTAGCAGGAATCGTTGAGAGACCCGCGAAGCCAGTGAAGTGGAGCTAAGAATTTTATTGTATTGCAGTTATAACTACCCCAGTAAATCTCATAAAGAAATCTGGAATCTACAGTTGATGTAAAATACTCGGATTAGAACGTTTTCAGCTATACTCCAAAAAATAAAGATATTACGATTCTAGAAGCTGTGTATCTACATTATATTCCTTTGCTTAATATTGAAAAATAAAAAAGGGTATTAAAAATTTGAAATTTAATTGGGTAGATAATTTCTGCAGGTCTAATACTTAGGCACAAATATATTTTATTAATAATGAAAATTCAATGTATTCGCATTCAAATAGGTTTGATATATCGTTTAAATTTTTTAAATTATGTTTAGGAGAATTAAATAAATAAATAAAATAAATATTTAACAACATCACATACATTGCTCAGATTCCAAGATGAGTAGCTAAAGCCCCCGTATTATGGAGTATCTGAGACAACGAAGGTACCACAACACCCAGACCCGAGTCAATATAGAAAAGTTCATTTTCTACATTGACTCGACCGGGAATCGAACCCGGGACCTCAGAGATGGCGACACCTTGAAACCGGCGTGCGAACCACTCGGCTACGGAGGTCGTAGCCGAGTGGTGGAGGTCGAAAATATGAAATAGGGTACTTAAATTAGAATACTGAAATGGTATGATAGATTTTGATCATTTTATATTACAACTTTTTTGGACTTTTGTTCAAATCAGCAACTTTTGTTGGTATGTCTACATGTTTATTTAGGAATCAAAATCTTTACATGTCAATTTCAATGGTCATCTTTATAAAACAAAGTCGCTTCGCCTTTTCTACCTGATTGTTTGGCCACGATAAACTGAATACGAATACAATAGACGGGATAATTCACGACGAATGTTATAGGCTACGCGCGCACTGGTGATGTTTTGTCACCGTGCCTTTTTGTCTCCTGCTGTGACCGTAGTTCAGAATCCTTGCGGTAGCACACGAAATTGAACATGTAATTATTTGATGACTTATGGAAGTCAT